GCGCGTGGCAATCCTCTAGAGTTTACCATGGTCGGTTTTGCGCTGCACACAGGTGTTTTCCACTCTTTGGCCACATCTGGCGGCCTACAAGTAAGTGTGCAAGCTAGGTGAATCAAACGCTTTGGATCGTATAGAGGATACTATAGGCCACCAGGGGCGTGGCAATCGCCAAAAACGCACTTTGCAGTTTTATGTGTTACCCTTTGGCGGCCAGGTTTATTTTATAAAAAAAAATTATAAGCTCAAAAATATAATAATGCTTAAAAAGTCAAGTTAATTTTGGTCACATAATTTCTTTGTAGAATTATTCGATGTTAAGATATTAATAAGAACAATTTAGGCATCTGCAAATCGCTACTTTTCTGCCTGCAAAGTTCGAGCACTGCTCTCTCCTAAAAAATTTTCAAAATATATGAATGTGAAAGCAATAACAAAGTTACCCAGTTAAATACAATACAAGTGGATAAAATATATTTGATAAGGCCAGTTTATACCAGCTCTATGTTTGATTCGTTAGTCTCTGAATTTTGGCAAACCGAGACTAGCTATTATTGTTTGATATTAATTTTTTTTCTGAAATATTTTTAAACGCTTTAGAAAATAATATTCCAAAATTACAAAAACTCAACAAATATTATTTTGCTGAATTTTAAGTTTGTATAAAAAAAATTTATACAATTAATTTTAAGCAGGTTTGACAGCTCTCTGCTATAAAAAATGTATTGAGACTCGATTTTTTAGTTAGATTAAGAAAATATTATTACAATATGAGAATAAAAGTTTCTATAATTTAGCATAAATTTCTGCAAAGTCCTAATTTAATTTAGTTTGTTTTTAGTATTTTTTTTTAATAATAATTATTTTTTATTTAATTTTTTATTTATTTTTTTTGTTTATTACAGGTTTTAGGCAAAACATTTGTAAATCTGTTTAGAAAAATTGTTTTTGGTACTAATTAGAAATATTATCACAAATGATTGTTGCATTGCAAGCAAGCAAATATGTGGATAACGCTTTAAAAATAACTCGATAGACATGTACACATAAAAATCTGATTAGCTTTACTAACAAATGTGCTCTAATTAAGCACTTCAGTTCAGCAGAATTAAGTAAATTCATTAAAATTCTTCTACAAATATATTTTTGTAGTATTTGCCTCCAAACCTAGCATAAAAATCGATTTATTACGAAATCTCCAACCAAAATGTAAATAATATGCTAGAAATATTTTAATAGAGTTGCCAACAATAAAAAAATTTAATTAACTAAATAAGTGAATATAAATATAAATACTTTTGTTATTATCAATATAATTGGCAAAAATATCGCCATTAAATTTTTAATTAATTTCAGTAATTAAACAAAATACTTTGAAGATTTATGATTAAAAACTTTTAACGTATACTCAAAACTATATTCAGCAAATAAAAAACTATGAGATATACATGCATATATTTAGACGAAAATCTATACCTCTACACCAATAAATACCTTAAGCAACTCGAATCGACATTAAGCGAGAAATATTCCCGCAACAATTGGTTTCACTCTTATGTGGAATTTTCGGAGACATGCGTGGGAAATTCAAAGGAAAATGTGCAAACAGGTTTATTTTTAAATGAAAAAAAGATGAAGATACGCTGTGTTTGCACCCCACTCTCTTGGAAAATTTAGTTTTGTGAAGTTCAACACACGCGTTTATCTATGCAAGTATGCCATAAATGTACTGTTAGTATATATGTAACATGTATATAGATGTGTTCATAATTCTTTATTCCAAATGTGCGTTGAATTTCAAATTTTTTCTTCTAAATTTTAATGAATGATTAGGCGATTTCTCCCACTTTACCCTTCCTTGACTACTGAATTGAATTGCTGTTATTTTTTTTATTATTGGAGTCTTTTAAGCAAATATGTTTTCACACTACATAATATTAAGTAAGTGCGGAAAGAATTTTCCAAAAAAAATCTACAAAAAAGAAAAAAAATTATGGATTAAAATACACTTCAGTACACGATCAAATTTTTTAATTTTTTTGATAGAATAGTAAAAATAAAATTCTTTCTCTCGAAAACTAATTTTTCAAAACGGGCGATGCAATTTTTTTTTTTGCTTAAAATGCACTTTAGAGAATTAAAAACATTTTTACAATAGTTGATAGAAAAGTAAACAAAACAGTCTTTTTTTCTAAACTTCGTTTTCAAAACGGACGACAAAATTTTTTTGGCTTAAAGTTCACCTTAGGGTCCTGATAACATTATTCAATTGATAGAATAGTGAAAAAAATTCATTCTCTCGAAACTTCGTTTTTGAAACGGACTACGTATGTTTTTTTGTGCTCAAAGTAAACTTTAGAGTATTGAAAACATTTTCAAATGTTGGAATTGTAAGCAATAAATGTTTTCGCTCTAAACCCTATTTTTGAAATCATGCGACGACGGTACTGGCAAACTGTCTAACGTATCACCTTAAAGAGTTACATGGATTTCACGACTTCAGAAAAATATTTTTTTTATTGTTTTATGTAATTCTCTAACATCTTTAGAATATAAATTCTCAAGTTGATCCGAGTAATAATTTAGGAGATACAATCTTGAAATTTTGCGCGCTCGAGCCAATTGTGTTTTCAAAGCCAGTTGTCAAGATTTATCACGAAATATGATCTTAAGTAAATTTTACACAGATTTTGGAGCTATAATTTACAAAGTCTTGAACGAAGGTTTTTTTGTTCAATTACAACTATTTAAAAAAAACATCAAGAGATTTTCACAAAAATTTGCATTTTTTTTATAAACGTTTACCAAAAATCCTATTTTCACTTTTTTGGTCTTTCCTGCGTCCAATACCTAGTTTATGATCTTAATTGAAATACGTATTTTTTACTTTTTACTGCTGTAAGAAGTTCTTTTGGTGGCACCTTTTGGCCGAGGGACTGGCGGAAATGACATCGTAATGGCCGAGTTTTGAATATATTACTTGGAAAATTTCACAAAATTTTTGCAAGATATATATATATATATATATATCTGTGAAATAATAGAAAATATGAGTAAAATATTTAATTTTTATATAAAAAAATTATTTAAAATAGGCTGTTTTTTGCTCGAATAAACCCATGTAACCCCTTAAAATTTTAGCAGTATCGTTTCTGTAACATTATCCAGTAAATTACGTCAGATTTTTTTAATTTATTATTCAACTTTTTATAAACAATTGACTGCGCTCCTTAGACTTTTTTTTCATGTTCGGCATTTATTTTATTTCAAATAGCATAAGTTCCTAGAATCATTGCCGCACATAAAAGATCTCTTGAAGACGATAATTCCGAAGATTGCCCTAGTAGCCGCCATTTTGTATTCAAATGTCAACATGGAGAATTTTTAACTAATATAAAGTGTGATAGAGAGTAGGTAATACAATTCCTTTTTCCCGAAAAATTTGTCAAAGCCAGCTCTTTTAAGGCCTCTGGGCTGGTTTCAACTTTTGAAAAATGGTTTTTTATAGCATTTCTATTACATTTCTTTTTTGATTTTTGCTTATCAAACTACTGTTAAAGCACCCTATTACCAGTGAATATTAGTAAGAAATCTAATTTCAGAAATTTTCAAAATACTATACCCAAAAGAAGCATTTAATATTCATTATAAAAGAAGACAAGAAAATGCATTCGAAACTCCATGACATACATTTTTTATACTCTGAATTAAGTATATTATGTTTGCCACATTTAATACCCAGAAGCATAGAGTCTCCGACGTTTGCTATGAAACCATGACAGTCTATATATAGGCGAATTTGACCCTCTGTTTTTGAGATATCGATCTGAAATTTTACAAGGGTTCACCACAAGAAGCTGCAAATTTGTTGGAATGGTCGATATTGGATCATATAGCTAATATATGAACTGACCGATCAAAATCAAGCTACATATATGTGCTATAAAATATTATAGCTATAAAATTATTATAGCTTGCTTTGGATGCACCGAAGTTTTTTGATATTTAAATTTTAATATTTTTTCATTTAAATTAAAAAAAAAAATTAACTTTTAAACACATCAAATTGAATTAAGTGGCACTTAAACTACAAGTTTTCACTAAAGGCACCTCAATTACACCACATAGTTTTCAAAGTGTTTATTTACATTCAATTAAAGAACGTCATAATTATAGACTAAAAATACAATAACAAATTAAATGAAAATGAAGTCAATTAATTTTAATAAGGGCATTTTCTTTGTATACAAGTGAGCCGCGAGCCGCAGAGTTTACATATCATTTTCAATAAAAACGCAACAGTAACAACTTGCAGGGGGCGGAAAGACTCATAGGTCGCTTAACATCTGTAGTAAAAGTAAATATAGACGCCAATACACACTGGCGCTTACTTTAGGCGAATACAATACTCAAAGCCTGGAAAATTTTCGAGCATTTGCTATAAATAATATCGAATTATTATCGATAAACAACAAAATATAAAACAAAATATTTTAGTCTTTCCAACACCTGCTAGCTGCTTTAAACTGAACACGTCTATTGAAAAAGTCTTCGCAACATGTTTTTTATTAATTTTTGTTGCTGCTGACAACGCTGATAACGCGGGGTTGATAACAGCGACGGCGACGCCAATAATCAAGAGGCAATAAAAACAAGCTAATTAATGTATAAAATAGCTAATGACGAACAGGCTGAGAAGGTGGCCAGCCATGCTGCCGACAAGCGCGCGCAACCAACACCGCGCGCCCGCGGCGCAAACTACACCCTCAACTTAGTAACCCAAATTAAATCAAACCGCCACACTCCAAACCAGCGGTGGGGTCGCGCGCGCTTTGACGCCGAGGCCTACTTTGCTCATTTATGTATTGTGTAGATTATTTCATAAATGCTTGCTTGTTGTTGTAATTGATTTGAGTTAATTTAAATAATAAACGCGGGCGCGCACACACACAAACATATTGCACAAGTGTTTGATATAACAAAACATAGCGGCGCAAACATACCAATGTACTTTGCGCGACGACGCCAGCTGGGGAAGAGGCGCGGCGTAACAAACGCACTACGCACACAGACGCGCCAAGCAAAGTGAACGCGCGCTAACACACATACATACGAGTATAAACACGACGCACTGACACGCGGTCTCTGAAGCGGCAGACGCGTATATGAACGCAGATACTACGGGGAAGGACGCGACAACGCGGCGTGAAACGAGCAAGAGTGCGGATTAAGCGCACGCATACGCGCTAACAAATGCTTTGCAACACAGGACGCGGCTTGACTTTGACGAAACTTTTTTCTGCTTGTTGTGCGTTTGTGTTTTTGCGTTTTGTTGTGTTTGTGTTTCTGTTTTATTTCACGTTTTGCGCTGCTGCCTGCTTTCGCAGACGCTGCTGCAGATTTGGTTTAGTCCTGTGATTGGCCTGACGGACCTGCCAACAATTTTCACAATTTACACACAATTTTTTTTTTTTTTTGTTGCACGCAAATTTTGTGACACTTAATTTTTTTTAATTTTTTATAATTTTTTAGCGCAAGCCATTTTTTTAGAAATAATTTGCTTAATTTTATTAGCAACTCATTTGCTTTGGGGGAAATTTAGAATTTACTCCACATTTGCTTCTCAAAATTTGTGGCGTTTAGTGAAACACACGCGCGCAATTGTTCGCGTTCCAAATTGACCCGACGACTGGAACTCCATGACTGACGTTTGACATCGAAAAAATTTCATTCCTTACCAGCTAGCCACATCGAATCGGCGCAAGCACAACAACGCCGCTGCGCGCGTCAACGCCGATGTTGACTGTGTCGTCAATGCCAACTGCAGCTGCAGCTTGCGTCTGTGACAGCTGCTGTAATGCGCGCCACACAAATACATACATACGTTGGCATCTTGTAGCTGCCGAAAAGCACAGCCAAGCTCTTTACAACGATTTCACATGCTTGTTTGTTGTTTAGGCCAACGTTGACGTCGGCAGCGTCGCCATTACTCTCGTTTGTCCTTACATCCCTTCGTGTGGCACTTCGCTTGCCATCCGTTGTGCGTTCGTGTAGCCGAGTTTGTGCCAGCTGTGACGTAAAGTTATTCGAAAAAGCTCTTTGGCTCGGCGTAATGGTGTGCGCGTGTATCCATTACACACACACATACACCTAATGGTACACATGCACAGGCATGCTCATGCACACACACAGACAGTTCACGCACTTCCAAAGTTCCATATTCTGGCGCCTTTCCAGCAGGTGTGAAAGTTCCAAAGTTCCAATTTCATTGACTGTGCAGACAACGTGTGTGGATCGGGGTTACCAATGTGCCATTTTGTGATGTGGAAGAAAGTAGTAGATAACAGTATAAGTGCTGCAGCGGTCTTTCTTCGTTAAAGAAGACTACAGAGGTGATCTATGAGTTCTCAAAAACAGATGTCACAACTGTTCGGTGAGTAGAGACCTCAAATAAAACATTTTCTCTTTCAAAACGAAAATATTAATATGTATGTATATGGGGTTTCGTCAAGTTCCGTTATTGTTAAGAAGTTTAGATGAAGGTTGTCGGATACATGAAATCCTGCAAATGTCTAGAAAGTCGCAGAGGTTTAAATGCTGGCAAATCAGGTTAAATGCGTTTTTTGCATGCATTTATTGAAGAGTAATTTAATTTATTAAAAAAATAAGAGAAAAAATGTACATTTATCGATTTATTGCACTTTAATAATCGGTGATCATTTTCAAAAAATGTTAAATCCCCTTGATCTCGTAGCGAATCCACAGGAGAACCTCCAAAAATCGGTGGGAATGAGGAAACATTTTCTGCTTAAAATTACCTCAAATCCAAGAATCCAAAAAATTTGTTACTGCTAAAGATTAATCCTTTATTCATTTATTTAATTATCGAAGGACTATTCAAAGCTTTGATTCTTGGTAAAATGGCGGCTTACCAAAAAAAAAAAACGTTTATTGTGAAAAAATTTAGACTTCAGAGTGGCTTAAAAAATCGAAATTATTACAAAAAATCGAAATTATTATAACAAATCTAATTCCTTCAATCATTTCCTAACAATTATTTTAAAGAAGGTCGTGTGAAAATTTCAAGTCGATCAGTACAGCCGTTTGAAGAAATTTTCCTCACTGACTCTGAAAACGGCGTTTCGAGAAAAACGCGCTTAAAGTTTTTGGAGCAGAAACTAAGTTAAAAATTCTAACAAATCCTATCATATCTCTGAGATGATTCGCAGAATCACCGTCAAATTTTCGGAGACTATTTTCATATATACATACCTATGTGCATATGTACATTCGATATACATAGATATATGAAAATAAAAAAATCGATTTTTTTAATATTCACAAGTGGATATAACGCCTTAATTAGGACTAACGAGAGTATCTATGGGTTCTCAACTTCAAAATTCTGATTTGTATGCCATAAATATATTTAAAAATATGAACTTTTCAAACCTTGTTTGCGAAGCAATATCTCTTTCAATTTTATATTTCAGGGATCTTAATCTAGACCTACACTACTTTCTTGAATTTTTGTACCTTGACTTAATTTATTCATCTATCCACTCTTATACTAAGTTCTAATCGATTCTATAAATGCTATGTATATTCGATTTTGATTGATTCAGTTAAACTTCTTAATTCCCATCTATGAGCATCATGTCATCATTCTCACCTTCTCATATTAGTAAAGCCTGAAAAAGTTCAAAAAGTTTCGTTTGCACTTTATAAAGCTTACCGGTGGTCAATTGACGGTCCTCACTAAGCATTAAAGTCGACAAAAGTTGAATCCTGCACTTTGAAAGTCCCCAACGCAAGTTAACGAAATATTTCATGTGGAGAGCTTAGTGAAGACGACAACCGCCACACTACAATGCTCTCAAAACTGCACAGTAGTGCACAGACATTTCAGTGACCTTATAATTTTGAATTCAACCCAGTTGGAAAAAATCAAACTTTACAAAATTGAAGTTAAAAATATTTTGTTTTCAATAAAAAAAATATATATTATTAATACAAATATGATAATTTTGTAAATAAGAATTACTAGTATTTAGTGATTTTTGGAGTCTTAGAAGGTTGTTTCGTCATATGAAGAAGTGCCGCCAATATGAGGCATGCAGAAAACATTAAATTATATTAATATAGTTATATTATATAAGGTTGTTATTGCGGAGCGTATTTCTACTTATAATGTCAAATAAAATTTTTTTTGTAAACCTCATGTTTTATTTTTCATTTTGAAGATTTTGGTTCTTTTACAATCTATTCGTACTCAGTTATCACAGAGAACGCATATATGTACGTATATAACGTATGAGATACATTCTCTGGTTATCATTCACATATTCTCTGGTTGGAATGTTTGAAAAACATATTTTTCAATCTCAAAAACTTAGTAAACTAGCTGATTTTGAAATTATGAGTTAAAAGAGATGAATTATGAGAGATTGTGTTTTTTGTGCACAATACAATCTTATATAATTTAATCGTAGTTTATAAATACTAAATTAGTAGAGATAAACAAGTAAAATTATTAACAAATCTTTCAAATCGTGTTATTTTCCTAATTCAACCACATTCACCTACAGTAGTTCTCAAACTACAAATACAGTGCTGCCAAACCAGCTTATACGTATACAAAATTTTGACATTCGATGCAACGCTGGCGTACGAATGTGCTGCAGAAAGCAGAATTGTAATATTCACGGAATTATTCTCCGCCGTTGCGAGGCAAAACGTCAGTTGAGAAACAAATGGCGGATCGATTTAAAGTGTAGCGGAAGAATTGCGTGTCGAATTTTCCATAATTTACGGGCAGTGCAAAAATAATATATATACACATTGTGAGAAAATAGTTTAAAATATCAACACAATCATATATAATTAAGTGAGTATTTCATACGCAGTGTTTATTTGTGAATTTTTGGCAAAGAAAACAGCAGAGTGCCGTACAATTTTTTGCAAAGTTTGTGAATATCGGTGAAAAAGTGCGCAAGTGTGTGTGAAAAAATTGCATAAAATATAAATTGGAAATGAGAAATATGTGCAAGATACACAGATAGACAGCGATACAATTGAGTGTAATAGAATTTATGCAAAATGCACGGGTTTTTGTAGATTGTGGCCAAGTGGGGGGTCCGTATTAGTTGTATAGCTTTCTAGAGAATTCTACTAAAATAAGCTAGTTTCCTGAGCAGCAACTATTATTATTAATAATAGTCGTGTTAGCACAAAAGAAAGGTAGAACCGCTACAACAATAGCTTAATTGTTGGTGTGGCTATTCTAGCAGCAACAATTCGCCACGCCAAACAATTTCATTGTATGTGCCATAATTGCTACAGCTAAATAATCGAAAGTTATACAATTGCTGTACAAAATTTGGTTATTTAAGCGTTTTATAGTTTTTAATCTATATATACAAAAACACAACTACAAAAAACTACAAATTATAATTTGTTCTTTACTTCTCTCTGTTTGCGCTGTACGCTTTTTGCTGCGTCTTCTTGTTGTTCATTCATGACTCTTGACGTTTGCTATTTACCCATTCTCGTACTTGTTTTGCTTACTTTTCTCCTTGGCATTCGCCAATTGGATTTTTCAATGCTGCTCAGTCGGCTGTCTGATATTTTTCGCCAAACGAAACGTTTGCGGAAAATTTCATAATTCAGGAGTTCAAATTTTCAATTTTGTACCATATTGCGACAATTTACAATAATTTTTATGATGTGAATTTACAAAATTAAAGCTGAAATTTATATTAAAAAAATTGTCGTGTAATAAATTGCATATTGTGTTATAGTTTCATAAATATCTTAGAAATCGCTGTTTAATATAAAAGTTTTGTATTTAAATTAAAATCGTTAATTTCAACTTTAGGCTTCCAGTTTATAGTAGTTCTGCGTGTTTATATTCGTTACTGTGCTTCGACTTAAAAATATACAAAATATTTTAATAAAAGTGCATAAAAGGCACATAATCTATCAGGCTGTTGGTGTCAAAAAACGCTTTTAAAACATAACCAAAATCCAGCAGCAGCTGCGTAAACCGTTAAGTGGTATGCAAAGGTGCGGCTCGCCTGTAATTTTAGCAAAGTAAAGCCTGTAAACAGCCAGCAACTAGCGCTGTGTGCAAGCAACAGCATTACTTCAACTCCTGCAGCTCAAAAAGGTAAGTTGCCCAAAAATTTGTGGTAAAATATGATAATTTTATTGCAACGCGTTTTTTTTACATCGATCTAATAAGAAATTTTGTTCACTACAACATTTTTGATTTTTTTTGAATATATATATATTCGAAGTGCTAATTGCAAAAATAAAAAAGCCATTATTATTCTTTCGTACCATTTTCACAAGCTTTTTTCGCATTATTCAAATATCGTATGTGTGTGATTTGTATTAAAAATAAGTTGCTAATAGCTCAAAATTGTTTTGTGTAAATTACTTTTTCAAGAAGTGTATTTATTATGAATTTATGTGCATTAAAAAAGTTAACTAGAATTAGTATTCGGTTTAAATAGGTAGTGACTCTCTTACAGGTTTTGGTATAAACCATAATATTTTTCAAAAGAAAATTCGCATGCGAATGAGTCAGTTTAAATGCTTCACCGTTCTTAACAGTAACATCTTATATATATGTATCTATAAACAGCACCCGCTTGTGGTCAGGCGTATTTTTGTAACCTAAGCGGTGTATATGAATTATATCGATAAATTTTTTATTTGACACAATATCTTCACGAAATTTAATATAGATTAATTTCCAATTCTTCGCTACGATATCAGTTCACATTTTTCAGATCGAACCACTATAACATATAGCTGCTGGAAATTTTACAGTTCGGGCCTAATCGATCCATAAAAAAAGTTTTTGTGACTGATTTTAGCTTTGTTTCAGCAAAAGTTTTCTTGTTTTTTTTTTTGCTTAGTTTTTTGTTTACTTTTTTTTTATTTATTTATTCTTTTTATAAATATTTTTGTATTTATTAATTTATTTTATAAATTTATTTTGTATTTATTTATTTTTATTTTATTTTTTTTGTATTTATTTATTTTTATTTTATTTTATTTTTTTATTTATTTACCTATTTGTTTTTATTTATTATTATTTTTTTTATTTATTTCTATATTTTTTTTTTTATATAATATATTTTGTTTTATTTATTTATTTTTTTTTTTACTTATTTATTTTTTTTTTGTATTTATTTATTTTTTTTTTTATTATATAAATTATTTTGTTTTATTTATTTATTTATTTATTTTTTATTTATTTTATTTTTTTATTTATTTTTTTTATTATATAATATATATTTTTTTATTTATTATTTATTTATTTTTTTTATTATATAAAATATTTTTATTTTTTTTATTTTTTTCTTTATTATATAATATATTTTGTTTTATTTATTTATTTTTTTATTTTACTCCATCTCCATATTACAAAACACTATTTATTCCACTCATTATATGCTTGCTGCCTTATTAAACTCTTTATTGTGCCCCTCAACACTGTCTTGTTTGTTCTCATATTCTCAACTTAGCATTTTCTTAACACACTAAGCAACAGTAAGTCGTTACAAAAACAACAAGCCGATAAAAACATTAATCCATTTTACTGCAGCCAAAACTTAAGCATTCCTTGATAAGTCTCATTCGGCGCTTCTTCAGTTCTTCTTCTGCTTCAATGCTAGCTTCTGTTTTTTACTTTTTATTTGCGCTTGGAAACAAGTTTTGCTAGTTTGCTTGAGGCTCGTCTAATGTCGGTGCCAATTTCTATACAAGTTCGACTTTACGAAAAAAAGAGAATATTTTAAAATAAGATCATAATTAAAAAGTGGTGAACATCAAAAGAAAAAAGTTCTGAAGAAAGCAAAGAACTTGAATAGCTGAATGAAGAAAGAGGCGAGATAGAGTAAAATAAAAAAATGTTAAAAATAAAACTAAACTATAAAGCTAGAGTAGAAGCCTCTTTAACAGATTTTAGTGAATGTGTGCTTTAACTGCCTGTGCTGGTTATATATGTACATACATATTTACTTGCTTTGAATTGGACGGCATACAGAACGCAAGCAGCCACTTGAGTATCTCAAATGACACACCAACAACTATTGTTGCCCCAACTGTCGGTCGGTCGGTGTTGGAGCAGCGTCAGCTGCTATATAAAAATTTTAATTCAATCAAAAAAGAAGACGCATTGAATTTTCTGGTTTGCCTGCTGTGCTCTTCATGTGCTTTGATTGTAGCAGAATGAAATTCGAATACAAATTCTTCAAAAAACTTATTTAATGATTGTGAACATATGCATGTACATATGTATGTATTTATGTAAAAGGGAAAATTGAAGTAATACCCTTCACAGCCGCTTTTTGTTATAGCATAAAAGGGTATAAAAATAGCTTTAACTGGACTTTTGATCACTCACATATATGCTATAGTGATTCGAATATTCCGTAAAGATATCTTGTGAAATAAAAAAAAATTTCGTACTAAAACTTTGCTTGGCTTGTATTGAATTTTCTAACTATTAACTAATTAATTTTATTTTTAATTTTTTTTTACCTCTTTCCATTTTGCTTCTTAAATATTTGTTTTTTAACTTTTTTTAAATTTTTGTTTTGTTTTTATTTTTATATATATTTTTTATATACATATGTATATTTATATATATATACTTTTTTTTTTTTATATTTAAAATAAAAATTTTGTTATCAAAGAATTAAAAAGAAGATGGTTGGAATTTCCAGTTTTGCTTATTTGATTTAAAAACCACATATTTCTTTTGTATTGAAATTTTGTATTCTCCCCAAATTCTTCAAAAACCACATTTTTACTTTGTTCTTACTTACGTATGTATGCATTTTTTTCGTTCGAATTCGTTGTTCTAATATATTTTTGAGAACGAATAATTTACAAAAAGCTGTTTGGAATTTTGATGGCATCGGGCAGTAATGAAAGCAAAACCTTATTAAAATAACAAAAACAAAAAAGGCATAAAACATTTACTATGTAGAATTGAGCATCTTTTGAAAGGAACCTTATGTACAAATCACAGTAGGAGGGTGTGGCCCTCAAATTCCAAAGCAAAACATTTAGTCTTACATATGTTTTACATTTCTAAAGGTATCTCAATAAAGTTTATTTGTGATTTTTCATTTTAGGGAGAGCAATAAGTGAATACAACCGTTTTAAATTCTTTGCGTTGTAGAACTATTATAATTTTTTTTTGAAGGTTTCATTAATTTTTAGTTTAAATAAAAAGTGAGCTTCCAGATGTCAGCAAGTTTGGAAGCAA